CTAGCTGCCCCATCCCCAGCTCCTGAGTTACTTGAATCAGCTAGGCTTACACCAGCTATTCACTCACAGTCTCAAGCAGTTCTCCAGCGTTCACCCACAGTTTGAACAACTGCATTCACTCAGTTGCTCTTTTCTCAGGTTTATATGGCACCCGTCGAGCCAACTGCTTTCTTGGGTTTATACAGCACCCGGCCAGCCATTGGGTTTACATGGTACCCTGCGAGCCTTCTGCCTTTGGACAAATGCGATATGAGTTTACTATATCATCTCCAGAGCATGTTACACCATCCACCCCTAGGTCCCATAGGCTGCTGTGCTTCACTTCAATGAGCATGTTGTTCCAGGAGACACACGGTTTCCCCCAACTCACCACTGGGTTGGTTGCCTTCCCTGGTGTGAGAAGCAGGAGTGTTCAGTTGCTGCATGTAATCCTACAGGATAATCATCCTTGCTTCCAACAGCTCTGCTTTCTGCTGCAAATCTTGATCAGTTTGCATCATAGTGAGCAGTAGCCAGGCTCTGGTCAGCAAGAAATTGGCCACTGGGCATCATGTGCTCAAGGATAGCCACATTTTCTCCCCTTCCCAAGGGGTTGTCTGCCATAGTGCCTGGTCTATGCTACCGTCCAATACAGTGAGCAGCAACCAGATCCTGGTCAACAGGAAAGTTGCGATAGGCAGAACATATTCACAAGTAGCCACATTTCCTCCTTCTTCCAAGGGGTTTTGGCTCCCATACCTGCTCAGAATCCTGCTCAGAGTGCCAGTTGTTGGGCTTTTTCACCTGTACACAATCCTGCAACAGCTACACCAATTGTAGAGCTAGGGCTGGGTCTGGAGCTCACAGACCCCTCAATCCCATTTTCCAGACTGGGTCACAAACCCTTCACATGCAGGTCTATGAGTTGGTAACCAGCCAAAGGTCTTTGGAGCTGTAAGTTCGAGAGCATGGCATTGGAGGGCGGATGCCCAAGGCAGTAAAATGCCAGGCCAGCCAAGCGGTGGCGCCACGCATGTGCACTAACTCCACCCCCCCCACACACAATTTGCTTACAAAGAATGTGCCACACCACCCCCAACCTGACCCGAGGCAAAGGAGCCTGATTAAACTATTCTGTTTTCCCAATGCTTGCTTATTGTTTGCTACCCCTAACTGATTCTCTCCACTGGAATGGAAGCTCTATGAAATCAGGAATTTTTGCCCTTCTTGTTTACCACTGTGTCCTTAGTACCCAGGACAGGACATGGCACATGGAAGGCACACTAGAACATTTGTTGAATATGTAAGTGGATGACAGGAATTAATTTATAGGCCACGTTATCTGATGTGGTTACTTCTGGAATGAGTTAGTTAAATTGAATCATACTTATATGAAAATGTTTGTGTTTTCTCTAGTTTGGGGTAGAATCCTCCTCACACTCCCCAATGATTTCAAATAAAGAGATAGGTACCAGAACACAACTTGTTTAATTCCACAGCAAATTTTAAACCATGTAATCAAAAACTCTTTTACAGATGCCAATTCTCACATGGTTTTCTGTGAGCATCAATAACCAGGGGTCTGTATTGGGTGCATGCATTTTATCCTGTAAGAGATTTCTTTCCATGGAGCCACAGGCAAGGAACGACTGCTTTTATCTTTTCACTAGAGCTGCTCTAGTATTGGATATTACGACTGAAAAAGAATTTATTCATTCAGTAGGTATAAAGTAGCACTTCATTATAATTTCTTACATAAAAAGAGTGGCCAAACACTCTGTTTTGACAACTCTTTCTCTGGCAAATGATGGCTGAGCTGAGTTTGCTCAAACTAGTTTAATTAAAAAGAATTTATTGACTCTCTTATCTTATAAGTTTGAGCATGGCTGGGTCTAGGAGCCCAAACAGGTATTAGCAGGTCACAGGCTGTTTTCTGCTCCTGGCCCTCCCTCACGCTGTGTTGGCTTTGTTCCTCAGCAAGCTCTCCAAACCCAGAGATGGAGATGGCCATAGTCAGCTCCTGGTTTATATTCTATATGCTTAGCAGCAGCAGTAGTGTTACTAAATTAGTCTCTTGGGTCTCAGTGTCATTGAAATGAACAAAGTACCCAGCAGAATTTAAGGCAAGCAATGCTTTATTAAAAAGGGATAGACTCATGCATAAGGGATTCATCAGTAGAAAAACTGTCTCCCCGAGAGAAGATGGGGAAAGGTTTTTAAAGGCAAGCAGTTCCTCAATTGATGCGAACTTCTTGTCTTGATGATTTATGATATCTTTATAATGGTCATGAGGGGGGGTCAGTTTCAGGGACATCCTGTGTGTAACTCCCAAAAGGGTTTAAGGTTAATCTGTAACTTAATTTTTACAATTACAGGAAGAGAAAGAATGGGTAGATAATGATAAGTTTTAAATAAAGCTAACAGTTATATTTTAACCCACCTTGGGGAAGGGGTTTTGTAACTCAGTTAATATCTCTTCCCCTCTTATCTCACTTTATTTATCAGGGCGAGCCGTAGGATAATCAAGTGCCCTGGTGGTCTCATAACTGAGGTATGGAAAAGTAATGAAGTATCCTCTGCAGGGAAAATGGAGTTGGTTTGGTTCACAGGCCTAGCCCTATTCTGTCTCAGTAGGAGGAGTGGTCCTAAGGGCTTAGGCTTGGGGCCTGTGCCTGTTCTTGAGCCACAATGTACACCCTGAGTAGAAAGGCCTGGTTCATGTTCCCACTTGAACTACGTGAATTAAAGATAGAGAAGAGGCAGTTTCTAAAAGAAAATTTAGTTCCATTGCCAAAATAATAGATGCTGGGTAGGCAAAACCAATAGATGTGCAATAGAGTATTTTGTGGACTAATTTTCTTTCTCATTCTGTAATGTCTGTGAATTTTTAATAGAAGAGCAAACTTGGCTGTGTCTCTTGTCCAAGGACATATATCTAGCAAGTGGTAGACCCAGAATTTCAGTCTGGCCTTGACTTTACAGCCCGGCCTCTTTTCCAGTACCAGCCTCTTAAGCATTTCCCTTGCTGCACCCCCAGTGGCAGAGATGTGGGAACGCACACTCTGGAGGTGTGGGACTACAGCCTAGCAACCTGCCATAAGCCAACATTTCCTTTGAAGTCTAGTTTGTTTAATGTTAGCCTCATTAACAACTTGCATTCTGCAGTACAAAATGTTAATTGTAATTTAGAAACAGGTTTTTTATGACTCGTTGAATAAAATTGAATGCTCAAAGGAGAAGGACCCTGTTTATCTTGCGTTGAACCCTGCTGGCCACATATCCTGATACAAGATGCACGACACTGCCCTACACTGGATATTCAGTTGCTCTTCTCAACTTTATTTCCAGCGGGGATTCAGTGAGCTACTCTACAATTCTAGGAAGTATAAAGTGAGATAATAAAACATCATAAGTATAAAGAAAATTGAATTTTGTAAAGAACACACTGTTATCTCAGATTTCAGGTTGTACCTTACAGTTTCCCAGCAGTGCTATGCAGTTTCCCCTTATGGGCTGTCTTCATTCGTTCATTGTCCTGCTCTTTGTTACTTGTGCCCTCTTACCCAACAAACTTGGTTTTGGTGAGGAAGGACACTGTTGATGACTCATTATACCTTTCATGTTTTCAGGTACTATTTTAAAGTTTGCACTCATTGTGACTTCAAGCAAGATAAAAGTTGTACTTTAGACTTTTTTTTTTTT